GAATAGCAAGGAGGCCAGTGCCTTCGGGAAATGAGTGTGTGATGAGGTCGTGGAGAGCACAGAGACCAGGTCACACAGGAACTTGGTCACTGTAAGGTCTGGATTTTCCTCTTCGTGCCCTCATGGGTGTTTTTTGAGCCAAAGAAGGTCACGATTTGATTTGATTTTATTTGATTTACACTACATGGGTAACGGGAACCGAGGACAAGTGGGGAGGCAGTGATCCAAGCATAAAATAGCAGCTTTAATCCAGGGAAGGGATGTAGCTTAGGGACAAAGTGGTGACAGTGGAGGTGAGGAGCAGTGGTTCCAGATCTGTCCCAAAGGGAGAACCAGTAGGATTTGCTAATGAGTCAGAATGTTGGGTATGAGAGAAAGAGGAGAAGCGCCAAAGCTCAGTGGTCAGGACAACAGTGACAATATCCGGCAGAACCCTCTGCCGTGGAAATGTTCTAGGCCTGTGACATCCCGGATGGCAGCCTTCAGCCCCACGTGGCCATGAGGCACGATACATGTGGCTGGTGCAGCTGAGGAACCAAACTGATCATCTTTAATACTTTAATGTATCTAAATCACCCCCTCTCTGTGACAGCAATCAGAGAGGCGTGTGCCCGGGTTTCCTCAACCATCGGTCACTCCCTTCGTTTGCTAACTAAGGGCTCCTTGAGGACACACACCGGCTCTTCATCTGTTTCATTATTAGCAAAACTGGCAAAGTGTGTGGAATTCAGTAGGTGCTTGGTCAATGTTTTTGTGACTGACTGAATCAAAAAATGAATGCGCGAGCCCTGGCTGGTGTAGGTCAGTGGTTAGGACCTCAGCCCAGGCACCAAAAGGTCACAGGTTCGATTCCCAGTCAAGGGCATGTACCTGGGTTGCAGGTTTGGTCCTCAACCCCAGTCCGGGCACTTGCAGGAGGCAGCCAATCCATGTGTGTCCCTCACATCAATGTTCCTCCCTCCCTCCCTCCCTCCCTTTCTCTCTAAAAATCAACAGAAAAGATATCCTTGGGTGAGAATTAACAAAATGAATGAAAAAAATTAGTCCTATGTAGTCACGGCTACCGTTGTAGACAGTGCAGCTCTAGCGTATTTGGCCTGAGCTCTGGAAGAGTGGAGTTCTATTCACTGAGATCGGGAGAGTGTTGCAGGAGCAGGTTTCATGGGGATGAAAGAGGAGGGTGGGGAGGACAGATCAGGAGTTGGGTCTAGTAGTAGTTCGGTGCCCAAGTGGACATGTGTTGGAGGCAGTTGGGTATACGAGTTGAATTCAGGGGCAAGGGCTGATCTTAACATAAAGACTTCAGAGTCCCTTCTGCAGGCACGGAGCATACACGAGGCATTCAGCGCCATAATACTGGGTGCACAGAGGAAATGAGTGTAGACGGATAAGACGACGATAGGAAGTTTCTCTAGTGCTAAGCAGTAGGCAACATGCAGAGGGACCCAGAAAGAAAATGGAAAGCAAGGCAACTTGCATTCCGAAAGCCAAGGGAAGAAAGCATGTCAAGCCCTGGCTGGGTGGCGCGGTTTGTTATCCTGAGCACAGGAAGGTCGCCGGTTCCATTCCCAGTCAGGGCACATGCCCAGATTGCAGGCTTGATCCCCAGTAGGGGGCGTGCAGAGAGCAGCTGGCTGATGTTTCTCCCCCTTCCTCTCTCAAATCAATTAAATGTGTGTGTCATTTAAAAACAAAGCATATCAAGTGGAAGGGGTTGGCACTGAGCACAATTGACCCTCAGTAGTGAGGGAAGGTGGCCTGTGTGGGCACAGGCGCAGGTGAGTGAGGGTCATGGAGGTGGGGACTCTGAAGATTTTCTTCCTGTCACTTCTATCAATGAGATAAGGTGAGGCTGGGGGAGGTGGTGCCGGGAGTTTGAGGTGAGAAGGTATGAGTTACCCAGGACAACACCATCCAAGGTGCCTAACTGCCCGCAGGTAGCGGCCCCCCCGTAAGAATCTGTAAGAAGCGTTGAGCAATTCCAGGCTCCCGACAACCCTGCCCTGTAGGGTTAATATTCCTGTTTTCCCTCGAGGGAACTGAGGCTCTGTGGAAGGAGCCTGGCTTCAAACAGCTGGAACCCAAGACTGAGCCAGGAGTCCCCAATTCTCAAACACGCAGCCCCCTTCAT